CACAACACCAGCTAACTGAACTCCTGAACCAGCACAAAGAACTTTTTGAAGGAGGAGAAGAAACCGTTGGACTTGTACCTGGAATTAGCCACAAGATTGACACTGGTGACGCCAAACCAGTCAGTATCCGGCAATGGAGACTGCCGCAATCAACCCGACAAGCCATCAGAGACCAGTGTGATTCAATGTTGGATGCTGGAGTCATTGAGCCCTCCACGTCACCCTGGCTAAGTCCAGTAGTGCTTGTGAAGAAGAAAGGAGGTGGTCTAAGGTTCTGTGTGGACTATCGAGGTCTCAATGCTGTAACGAAGAAAGATGCTTATCCTCTACCCCGCATCAATGAGCTGATTGATGAGTTAGGCCCAATGGACACGTTTACCACACTAGATGCTCGAGCTGCATATTGGAGTGTTGAACTGGAGACAACGGATCGACCCAAAACTGCTTTTTCCGATGGGTACCGCTTATTTCAGTTCTGTCGACTCCCCTTCGGTCTATCCACAGCTCCTACAACATTTCAGAGAACAATGAACATTGTTCTGGCACCAGTACTTGGACGGCATACATTGGCATACCTCGATGATGTGATCATCTACAGCCGAGGTTTTACTCAACATCTCCAGCACCTCGCCGAGACCTTACAGCTTCTTTCTTCTGCTGGTCTTAAGCTTAACCCACAGAAGTGTCAATTTGCTGCCAGTACTATTGACTTCCTGGGCTTCACTATCTCACCAGGAGGAGTGTCTCCCAACCAAGAAAAGGTAACTGCTATATCCAAGACTCCTGCACCACGCACTGTGAGGGAGGTACGCAGGTTTCTAGGAGCCACTGGGTTCTATCGGAAGCATATTCCTGATTATGCAACGGTCGCATCACCACTGCATCTACTCTTAAAGAAAGGGCAGAAATGGATCTGGGGGCCGAACAACAGTCCGCTTTTGAAGAACTCAAGCTGCGCCTCACAACTGCACCAGTCTTGAGGCAGCCAGATTTTTCAAGAGACTTTGAGCTACATACTGATGCTTCCAGTGTAGCCCTTGGTGCTTGCTTGATGCAGAGAGATGTGCACAACACGCCGTACGCCATTGCTTATTACAGCAGGAAGTTGAGGGATGCTGAGACCCGCTATCCTGCCATAGATTTGGAAGCCCTTGCAGTGGTTGAAGGGGTTCGGGTATTTGACTCGTACCTCTATGGGAGGCACTTCACTGTCTACACTGACCATCGCCCACTGGTTTACATTTTCTCCAGAAAAACTAAGTCTCCCAGGATGACTAGGTTTGCACATGACCTGTCATTCTATGATTTCAATATACGATACAAGGAGGGTCCTACCAACCATGTACCAGACCTGCTTTCACGACAAGTTGCTAAGCTCACCATCACTGACCTCTCTCCAGAGAGACTTGCTGCAGAACAGGAAGCTGACCCTCTACTGAGTGATGTTCGCAAATATCTAGTGGAAGGGACTTTGCCCAAAAAGAAGTTACCCCTTCCTCTCTGCGAATTTGAACTTAAGGATAATGTGGTCTATAGGCTGAAGCACTTCCCAGACCGCATATGCTACCAGCTGTTTGTTCCCCAGAAGCTTAGGAATTCTGCTCTCAAGGCATCTCATCTTCCACCCTTAGCATCACATCCAGGCATCCATCGTACTTCCAGAATGCTAGGGCAATGTTTTATTGGCCTAATATGCTGCGAGATGTTAGGCAGTATGTTGACAGTTGCCTGATCTGCCAGCAGTCAAGAGGCAGCATGCAGAAGGTTCCAATGGCTGATACACCATTAGCAGAATTTCCCTTGGAACGGGTATCTATGGACCTAATGGACTTTGGTCCATCCATTCCAGTTCGCTGGGCCCTGTCGATCCTGGATCAGCACTCCCGTTTCCTGCAGATTGTTCCACTGAGGAAGGCTACTGCTGCAGCTGTCCATTCGGCCTTTATGGATCATTGGGTTACCCTCTTTGGACCTCCCAGGGTGATCCAAACAGATAATGGGATACAGTTCACCAGCAACATCTTCAGAGAACTAACAAAAATGATGCATGCCACGAATCATTACACCATTCGATACCATCCTCAGGCCAATGGAATGGTGGAACGGACAAACCGTGTAGTGAAAGCTGCCCTTACTACCTTAGTCGGCAACCGTCCAAGAGTATGGCATCAGTTTGTCCCAGAACTTCGGCTCCAGATTAATTCTGCCATACATCGTACTACTGGGGAACAGCCAATCTACCTCCTGACTGGGCGTCACGCAAATTTTCCTGTGGGTCTCACCAATGAAGCCATATTTGCAGAGAATCTCAATTTACTACAAGAAGCTCGTCAAGCAGCGGTAGAAGCTTCCAGACAAGCAAGGCAGATTTATGGAAGATACTACGACCGAGGCAAAAAGATAGTGTTCCAGCCTACAGAGGGATCCCTTGTCTGGTACTATGAACACAAGAGTCGTATGGGTGGACTACCCCCTCTCAGTGGTAAATGGCGTGGACCAGCTCGAGTCATCAGACGCTTAGGGCCAGTTTCCTTCGAAGTACTGAACTTGGACACAGGAGTTCAACTGAAGGCCCATTTGAATCACCTGAAGCCCTATCGCCCTTCTGAGGAACTCTCCTATGCTGTCGACGATGATGACGAGGAAGGACGTGCAGATGACGAAGAGGGACGTCCCGGTGACGAGGAAGGACCTGCAAACGACGAGGAGGGCCCTGGAGATGACGAGGAAGGAGGCGAGGATGGTACCAACCAGCCAGGTGCAGCGGTCCAGGATGCAGACCTTCCAGAGGATCCATGGGTGTCTGTTCTGACATCCTTTGCCAGGGAGCCAGAGGAGCGCAGGGAGCTGAATGTTGCAGCCGAGACGCTCAACGGCAACAATGTATAGAGAGTTTGTATATTTGGTTTATTTTATGTAACTGTTGTCTTGTGTGCTCCAGTTGATTGCGACTGATACGTCTCAGCTGGGCACACCCACCCTTTTGTGTTGAGGCAAGTAACAGGGCTCAGGCCTACCCTTTGGTTTTGTTTCAGATCCTGTCTCCGCTGACCACTCCGACCCAAGGCATGGGAGGATTGTGGAGTGTGGTCTGCAGTCCAGAGGAGAGGGCGACACACTCCAGTTACACTCGCACTTAACTTTGTACGGCGCCAGGTTTTCCCCTGCGTGGGACTGCATTAGTCACCCCTGTGCCCGTTTTCTATTGCCCGCTTTTAATTGTTTTAATTACCACCTTCTGTTAATTTTTACTAGTTCTTTTTTTTTGTTTGATATATTTATTTTGTGTTTTAAGATTCTCGTTTTATCCCTGAGCCCTAATTTCAGTTTTATAATGAGTTAACTTATTTCGCGGTGTCAGTGACATGACACGTCATTTTCTGCCAAGTCATTTTTTAAAAGTTTTATTTTAACTCTTCTGGCATTAGTTTTTAATACTTATTTTGTCGTTTTATATCATTCCCTTGTATTTTTATTTATTACTGGAGTCCTTTTTGTCTTTATGTATGTTTTAGTTTGATTTTTATTGATGTACGTATATTTTTCTTATTTGGTATTCTTATGGTGTTTTAGTTTGTTTTTATGTGTATATTTTAGTATCTTATGTTTTATCATGTATTCTGATTAAATTGGATTTTATTTGTAATTTTTTTTCTGGAAATGATTCGTTTTTTTGTGACGTCACGAGTCTATGACTGCCCGCGCCCCATGACAATAAACAGTGTCAACTGGAATTCTGTGTGTTTTGGATTACCCTCTTCTCTGCTGAACATCACCAAAAGGTTGTACCAGCCCATTCCTGTTACTTGCCTAGGTTTTATTTATGCTGGACGTTAATGTGTGTGAATCAATGAGGCATTGGTTACTTAAATATTACATTTTCCAAGTATACCAGTATTCAGTAGCTGTCAAGTTGTCACGTTTTACATGTTTTTTTTTAATTTGCTGAGCCTCTTCAAGGAAGTATTCCATTCAGTGCTAAGTTCAATTGATTTATCTCTCTTAATGAATGTTTCAGTAAGTTTTATGTTGTTTTAATCCAGTGCCCATTATTTTATTGTATTTTACTTCTTTTACGTGTCCTTTATCTGTGTTTTACGTCTTTTACTTCTGCTTTTACTGTTTTATTGCTTTTACTTCTTTACTGTTTTATTGCTTTTACTTCTGCTTTTACTGTTTTACTTCTTTTACTGTTTTATTGCTTTTACTTCTGTTTTTAGTCTTTCATTTCTTACTGAATCTTTTCTTTTACGATTTCAGTTACGTTTTAGTACTATTTTTAACTATACTTACCTGTTTTCGTTTTATTTCTGCTTTATTCAATTCTTTTATGATTTCAGTTAAGTTTTAGTCTTGCTTTTAACTATTACTTACCTGCATTCGTATTTTAGACCTGTTTTATTCCTGCTTTTACTCGTTCTTGCTGCTTTTACTTGCCTTACTCGTGTTTTACTTAGTTATTTTCGTGCTACTTCTACTGCTACTCTGCTTCTGCTTCTACTGCTACTCCCTCTGCTTCTACTTCTACTGCTACTCCCTCTGCTTCTACTTCTACTGCTACTCCTCTGCTTCTACTTCTACTGCTACTCCCTCTGCTTCTACTTCTACTGCTACTCCCTCTGCTTCTACTTCTACTGCTACTCCCTCTGCTTCTACTTCTACTGCTACTCCCTCTGCTTCTACTTCTACTGCTACTCCCTCTGTCTACTTCTACTGCTACTCCCTCTGTCTACTTCTACTGCTACTCCCTCTGCCTCTACTTCTACTGCTCTTCGCCTGTGACTGCTTCTGTTTGTACTTCGCTATCCCCTTTCTCTGTCTATTTTATGGTATATGTATGGAAAGGACTTTTTATTGTTTTAAAAGCACTGCCCGTTTAATAGCATATGTGGAAGCAATAGTCAATCTATTTCCACATAATCTGGAAGTTTATCCATTGCTTTCTTTTAGCTTCCAGTCTTTGTTTGTTTTTTTTTTTTTTTTTTTTTTTTCTCGAGGAGTGAACGGGACCCCTTTGTTCCTTCCTACTTGGTCTCTAAGCCTCTCCTGCCTCACAGGAGTGTTTCGGGCTCCTCCTTCACAGATGACATTTAAGCTGGATGTGGCGGATATATATGGAATATATACATATATATATATATACATATATATATATATATACATATATATATATATATATATATATATATATATATATATATATATATATATATATATATATATATATATATATATATATATATATATATATATATATATATATATATATACATATATATATATATATATATATATATATATATATATATATATATATATATATATATATATATATATATATATATATATATATATATATATATATATATATATATATATATATATATATATATATATATATATATATATATATATATATATATATATATATATATATATATATATATATATATATATATATATATATATATATATATATATATACATATATATATATATATATATATATATATATATATATATATATATATATATATATATATATATATATACATATATATACATATATATATATATATATATATATATATATATATATATATATATATATATATATATATATATATATATATATATATATATATATATATATATATATATATATATATATATATATATATATATATATATATATATATATATATATATATATATATATTATATATATATATATATATAGATAGATAGATAGATAGATAGATAGATAGATAGATAGATAGATAGATAGATAGATAGATAGATAGATATAGATGTAAGAAGAAAGAAATGATGCAAAAAGGGGAAGGCAAACACGCGAGGAGCAATAAGCTAGACTCAAAAAGATGTTCCTGAAAACGGCTGCAAAAACCCTTTCAAAACGGTCCTCACCGAAGCCATGTTCATCTCCAAACATTCGATTTGTTAGAAAATTTTGCTGAAAATGATTCCATTTCTTGATGTTCCAATAAATGTTAAGGGAGAATCTTACTGATAGAATTGCTCAATAGATAATGACAAATTTTGACATTTGGTTTCTTGTAAACGCCGTGTACTTTACTGCTCAA